CCATGAAAGCTGCTTCCAATACCACAGCGGCACTGGTCTCGTCAGCCACTATCCAGTTGTGAGCTTGGGAAAGCAACACCGCAAGATAAGTATATAGGTCAGGTAAGGCAGGCCAATCCCCCCCAGTCCAGGGTCTCTGCAACACCTTTAATTTAAATCTTGGTTGCTTTGAACCCCACAGGAAAGAGACCACTGCAGAATCAAATTGTTTAAAGTATTTCCGTGGGATCCAAACCGGAGTATGCCAGAGTACATAGAGGAAGGAGGGAAGGAGCTTAATTTTGACTAAATTAATTTTACCTATGAGGGAGAGTGGAAAAGGTTAGTCCTTGCCACCATACATTGTTTCACCTTTGAGAGTAACGGTAATAGATTAAGCTTACAGAAATCTAAGGGGTTTGTTGAGACCATAATACCCAAGTACTTCACTATGGAAGCCCACTGCAAAGGGATGTCAGGGTCAATCAAGGTTCTGGCTTCTTGGTCTATAGGCAGGATTTGAGATTTATCCCAGTTGACACTCAGTCCTGACAATGGCAAAAAGTCAGAAATCAAGGCCAAGACCGCCTTAAGAGATGGACCTGGGTCATGGAGAAATAACACCAAGTCATCCGCATACAGAGCCACTTTCTCAATAATAGTGCCCACCTGTATGCCCCAAACCTCGGGGGACAAACAAAAGGCCTAAGCTAAAGGCTCCATAACCAATGTAAAAAGGGCAGGGGAAAGAGGGCATCCCTGTCTCGTCCCCCTACCCACAGGGAAGGGGTTGGAAAGGTCGCCACTTAATCTGAGCTTGAGGGTCACTATAAAAAAAAGCCTATCCAGGAGCTAAAATGTTGGTCGAAGCCCATCACCTCTAACACTTTAGACATATAAATCCAGTCGTAATGCCTTTTCAAGGTCAAGCATTACCATCACCCGAGAGGATGACTCTGCCGAAGGGAGTTGAATATGCGACGAAAGTTATTATTGGTAGATTTTCCAAGGACGAACCCAGTCTGATCTATACTCGAGAGAGGGAAGGAGTTTCATCAACCTCTGGGCTAATATTTGGTCAAATTTTTAAATCATAATTCAAAAGTGATATAGGTCTATAGGAAGAACAGTGTAGAGGATCCTTACCAGGCTTTGGGATCAAGACAATATGGGTCTGATACATGGAGGGGGGGGGCTTCCTGAGTAAAACTTTCCTTAAAGAGATCATAGAGATGCTGCTCCATATCCGAAATACGCAATTTATACCAATACACAGGCAAGCCATCCAGCCCAGGGGTTTTATTAGGTGGGAATGAACGGATAGCTGTTTCAGTTTCAGGGATGGTGATTTCTTTATCAAGATCTTCAGCTTCATTTTCCAACAATCGTGGCAAGGAAAGGCTCCATAACCTGTCCCCCAAGACCATGGGATCTGGAGAGGGGCGGGGTCTATAAAGTGACTGAAATTAACTTAAAAAAAAAAAAAAGCTAGGGAATTATCGTCTGTTGATGGGAGTCAGCCATCAAATTTTATAACAGTAATAGTGTGAACCTCCTGCGCTCCCAAGTGTATCAACTAAATACAAAAAACAAAAAACACACCTGGAGAAGCTGCTAACATTAAATCATATATACCAGTGATTGTGTTAAATGAATACAATAAAGAATGTAGCACTACTCCTTAAGGTACATATACACATAAATAATAAATTAATAGGTGATGTGTAATCACAAAATTGCATCAATTTAAAAAATAATAAAAAGTGAAAGTGATATCAATTATTATTATTAATTATTAATTTGTGCCCATGATTCATTAAATCTATAAAAATAAATTCATATAACTGAGAGCATGTAAAAAACACATTTACATATATACATAGATATATAAAATACCGTGCATATAGAATCACACGTGCCTCTCGTGTAGTGGGAACACCCCAATATAACAATACATCAAACAGTGCTCACAAAGTCTAATAGGTATTAATAGTGATAAAACGAAAAACATGCGCTTCCAATGACTACTGTTGGTGACCATAAATAAACCAGAAATCATGTAGATCTTTGGGTGAATGTGAATTCTGACAATCCGACCACCATCTGGATTAGCCTCTCACCTCATTACTTCGACCCTTGCGGATCAAAGCACTTTTGTGGATCCCCCTCACAGATCCTCCAAGATAGCTATCACTCCAAATGTTGCTCCTTGTCGCACCCAAATCTCTCAAGACTTAATATTCCACCAATGGCTCCTCTCCAGGTAATTTGCAGCATCAATCTCTCAAATAAGACATACGATAGATCCTCCCATAGTGCAGTATATTTTATTTTCCACAGTAGGGACAAATAGCATAAAATAATAGTTTGTCACGTGATATTGTGACGCAACGCTTCGGCGGGACGTGGTGACGTATTTCCGGCGTGGCGGCCATCTTGGTACACCTGTTTGCAGAGTTGTACACCCATACATACATGCCCTCATCCGAAAGCATAGGGTATTGAATTGGCTGCCACGTGAGTGACAAACTTTTATATTATTTTATGCTATTTGTCCCTACTGTAGAAAATAAAATTTTATATATATATATTTATTTTGTAATTATGTGTTTTGTTCATCCATAGTCACCTATTTTATTTCTAGCAGTATACCTAGGTTACACATTTTTACGTTTGGGTGGTATTCACTATTATCCACAATTTGAATGTTTTCATGTGCATTCTATTCAATAATTTTTGGTTTATGTATATTTATTTAAAAGTTTCTACAACAACTCAGAGAGCCACTAAATTACTGCAGAGCAGATAGCCATCCATCTACCTCAGTAGGAGAGTCAAAAAATCAGGAAGATCCCTCATACGAAAGGCGACTGGGATATATCATTCTGTATTTAATATTTTTGTCACGAAGGCGTCTGCGAATATCAGTAAACACTTTCCTTTTCTTCCGTAAAAAAAATTTGGAAATAACATAACGGAAGCATTTTCAAATTGTAAAGCAGGGCATTTCTTGGCCTCTGAAAGGATGGTATCTCTGTCACGGTAATTCAGGAAATACACCAGGAATGGGCACAGATTATTTCCTGGGATGTTGCACCCAGTTGATACCCTGTGAGCCCTTTCCACCACATAAGTTGATAAAAACAGATAGGGGATCAAGAATTTCCTTAACCTCCTCGGCGGTATGATTCTTTTAAATTTTTTGTGCTGAAAGCGGTACCATTTTTTTGCATAGAAATATGGAGTTTTTTATTGTAGGCTGTAATTTTTAGGAATAACTCACTGAAATCTGTCCGAACAAGAGTCTAGTAAACATTCCGGATATGATAAAACTTGAAACACGAAATCATAAATTATAATTTATTAAATAATCATAAAAAATAATAATAATATAATAATAAATTTAATTCAATAATATAATCAAACCAAAAAACACTGAAATGTGAAATACAGAGGCAAATTCGCACATCGCTGAGCAAAGTCGCAAAATCGTTTTTCAGTGTCTGATGACGAATTTCCCCACGAATCATTATCACTCAATTCTGCAAGTGGTTCTAATTTACTATTGCTGTTCTAAAAACCGCTTTTTGACGTAAAGGGATGCTTTTTGGACGCCATGGACTTTTCTAAGTTTCCAGGCAGAAAGAACAGAATGCAGGCAGGGCACAGGACAAAGCAGTAGGGACAGAATGTATGTGAGATGCATTGAAACAGCAATGACAGCAAAAATGACATTTTTTTTAAAATTTCAAATGTCCCGTACGCCCCGACGTCACAGGGACCGGAACACGGAAGCCGGATGCCGGCATCGGCCGGGGACGCTGCAGGGGACACATCGCGGCAGCGAAGGACAAGGTAAGTGCTGCAGGGACCCCCTGAGCAACGCCGCATGGTAAGCCTGAGTGCAGCTCAGGGTTACCGCTCTTGGTATTGAAATTTTACCCCGAGCTGCACTCGGGAAAACCGCTAAGGTTAAAAAAGGATTCTGCAAATTCTGATGGCCTCTCACCTTCCGCACCCTCTGGAAGTCCCAGTATACTGACATTATTGCGTCGGAGTCTGTTTTCAGCATCATCTGCTTTAGCCATCAGAGCTGACACTGAACTTTGTAAATCAGTAGCATGATTTTGCAGTAAGATCCTCTGTAACAGAGTTCCTGGATTCAGATTCAGTGATGCGGCCTCTACTTTTATCCAAATCTGAGCGGATTAAATTGCATTCTTCTGCCAGCTTATCTATACGCACCAAGAGGGAGGTTTTGCTCTGTTCAATAGCAGCCAGAATTGCTGATGTACTATCAGAGGGGGATAGCAGAAGATCGGGGGCTACTGCCAGGATTGGGGTGCATGGGACAAAGGGCTCAACCGGGTCCATCTCCACCAGCAAGGCCTGCAGCCGCTTGACCAAGATGGCATTGGCCACGCGGTTGGAGCTGGGGAGGGTCGGGACGGGGTCCCTGCTTGGCAGAGCGGCTCCTGGATGGCATCGGAGGCAGGGGCAGAGAGAGGGGATAGAGACCAGGGGGATCAGGGGTCTCACCATCCCAACAGAGTCTGGATGGCAACAGATTAATTCCAGGATGGCTGGAGCTGCTCAGCTGCACATCCGCCTCAGCTCACATCCTGGCCATGCCCACCGTCCCATTCATCTTTAACTACTTGCCAACCGCAGATAGCCGAATGACGGCTACACTGCGGCCGGCTAGTTCTGGGAGGGCGTCATATGATGTCCTCCCAGAACATGCTCTCCTGCGCGCCCCCGGGGGCACGCACCCAGCGATCTCCGTGATTGCTGTGTCCTACGAACACAGCTGATCACGTGATGTGGTAAAAGGCCAATCAAAGTGGCCTTTTACCACGTGATCAGCCGTGTCCAATGACACGCTGATCAACGGGAAGTGCAATTGCAGGTTCTCGGCTGCACTTTCCTCACGCTGTCAGAGCATGAGGAAAGTACTGCTGAGAACCAGCAGTTGTCACAGCAGGGATCAGCACTGATGATTAGTGCCCTGATGATCGGTGCCCAGCAGTGCACCCACCTGTGCCACCCAGCAGTGCCACCTACATGTGCCCAGAAGTGCCACCTACCTGTGCCCAGCAGTGCCACCCACCTGTGCCCACCCACCTGTGCTCACCAGTGCCACTCACCTGTGCCACCCACCAGTGCCCATCAATGCAGCCCAGCAGTGCTGCCACCAGTCAGTGCCCAGCGGTTGTGCCAGTCAGTGCCCAGCAGTTGCGCCAATCAATGCCCAGCATTGCCGCCAGTCAGTGCCCAGCAGTGATGCCAGTCAGTGCTACCTATCAGTGCTGTCTATCAGTACCCATCATCAGTGCCGCCTATCCATGCCACCTCATTAGTGCTGCCTATCAGTGCCCTTCAGTGCTGCCCATCAGTGCTGCCTATCAGTGCCCATCAGTGCTGCCTCATCAACGCACATCAGTGAAGGAGAAAAATTACCTGTTTGAAAAATTTTATATTAGAAACAAAGAAACTTTTTTTTTTTTTCTCAAATGTTTTGCACACTTTTTGTTTATAGCGCAAAAGTAAAGCGCCCAGCGGTGATTAAATACCACCAAAAGAAAGCTCTGATTGTGAGAAAAAAATTATAAAAATTTCATATGGGTATAATCTTGCATGACTGCACAATTGTCAATCAAAGTGCGACAGCACTGAACGCTGAAAATTGGCCTGGTAAAGAAGGGGGTATAAGTGCCTGGTAGGCAAATGGTTAAATCTCGCATGGTGGCATATAGTAGAAGATAAAAATACGCTCTCTTTTCATTTACATCACAGTATGCTAGACCCCAAGGCCGCCGCTAAATTATCCCAGTCTGTGATCTCAGTAATGTCTATTTAATTCTGGTTTCCCACAGCTGCAACCACCCGCATTGCATTTCTCATCCCGCAGCAAGATTGCGGACCGCAGAGAAACCACATGGTTTAAGGCAAGCTAACCCAGGAGGTCTATGGCAGGCTAACCCATTCCTTATACAATCCCTGCTTTGTGCAGACACTTAGAAAACTCATCTAGAGGAATTCTTTCAAATTACCTCAAATTCTGTTTCAGATCCTTTCACTTTATGGAATATGCACAAGGCATACATATGCAGTATTTTTATTACCTTAGCTGGGGCTAAGGGAAAGAGGGCACAGTGTGTAGACCAGCTTATTTCTGAAATTTGTTGCATAGAATCTCAAAACAACCCTGCCCCAAACTTGAGGCTACTCTAGTACGTCTCAGGCAAGAACTTGGGAATCTTCTCCTAGAAACATTTGAAAAGTCACAAAGAAGGCTATGAGTTCTTGTTATGCCGCCGACAAATAGGCTGTAAAGCGAGTAAAGGGGAATTATAGCAAAACTAATATTGCTAATATCTTCACCTTTCTACTAAAGCTAAAAAACTGTATAATTCCCAATACATAGCAGATGTGTTCAGCTCTAATGATAGCTCCCTTTAAAATCTTAAAGATGACCTCTTAATAAGCCAATCATCTTTAATTAATATTCAAGCATTTTTGAAGTCTATTAATCTGCCATGTTTAATCCCCTCTCAAATTCTAGATCTCAATTCCCCATTTACTTCACTGGAAATAATAAATCACCTGGCCCTGATTGCTTTGTAGGGAAATACTATAAACAATATAAATATATCCTTGACATTTATTTAGAAAAGCTATACAACACTGCTTCTTCTTCCCTTTTCCCTCCAGAGATGCTAAAAAGCCTTATTGTAACTGCCAAAGCCATAGAAGGACCCCAATGGCGCTCAAAACTTCTGCCCCATTTCCCTTTTAAATGCTGTTTTAAAACTTTACACTAAATTGATAGCTACCAGTCTGATGGATATGCTTCCGTCTCTAATCCTTCCAGCTCAATCTGTCTTTACTAAATATAGCTGCCATTGTGCTACATGCTGGGTTTCCAGTGCACTCCTGTACCTTTCAGGAGGGGTGGGCTCCCTCAGGTCCATCTGCCCTTGGTCTATCCATTAGATTCATGTGCCTCTACTATGGGGGCTCTTAAAATTTTGTAGAGTTAGGAACTACAGAATACTGGGGTGATGTGATGAGGCTCTGTAGCTTACGCATGTATTTTCAAATGTGTGCTAACTAAACTCCTATTTTTAACGCATACTGTGAGACAGGTTAATATGGTTTGTTTGCAAGCTGGCTTGCAAGTTGAGCTGGGAATTTTTCTGTTTTGTTGTTTGACATGCGTCGCCCTTCCATGTGCTCCTTGCTGTGAAGGCCAGCTATAGACTGGGGTAGTGGCCATTTTTGTACTTTACTAAATGTAGCATTACCTCTTTTGGGGGTTGCTGGAAGATTTGGGTCCCCTATAGTCCTGCACAGCCAGGCATCACACATCTTCATAAAGGCTTGCATCCAGAGTCAGATATCAGTCCTTGAGCTTTGGTTTTGTTGTTTTATTTAGGCTATTTTGGACTAGGATAGGGTTAGGGGTTTACTGGATGCCCAATGGTAATGATAAACTGAAGACAACTTCCTAGAACTTTGCACGGTCTCTGTTGAAGAGCTAGCCAGCATCTCCCTAGTGTACCAACCCAGACCCTAGATGAAATTCTCCTCTTCAACCAGCAAACTGGAGATAACCCTGAATAGTGAATCCAGCTCCTGTCCCTTTAAAAAGGTGAACAGCCACAAGTATTATTATTATTATTATTATACAGGATTTATATAGCGCCAACAGTTTGCGCAGCGCTTTACAAAATGAAGGTAGACATTAAAGTTACAATACAATTTGGTACAAGAGAAAACAGAGGGCCCTGCTCGTTAGAGCTTACAATCTAGGAGGAAGGGTTGAGTGATACAAAAAGTAATAGCTGTGGGGGGATGAGCTAATGGAGGAAATAAATGGTGGTTTACTAGGTAGAAGCAGGATAGACTTCCTAAAGAGAGAGATTTTCAGGGATCGTCTAAAGGTAGATAGATTAGGAGACAACCAGAGAGATTGGGGTAGAGAGTTCCATAGGATGGGACAAGCTCGGGAGAAGTCCTGGAGGTGAGCATGAGAGGAGGTGACATGGGAACTAGAGAGCAGAAGGTCTTGGGAGGATCGAAAGAGAGCGGTTTGGTTGATATTTTGAGACCAGGTTGGTGATGTAGCTGGGGGCAGAATTGTGGATGGCTTTGTAAGTTGTTGTTAGTATTTTGAATTTTATTCGTTGAGCGAGTGGAAGCCAGTGGAGGGATTGGCAGAGAGGGGTAGCAGACACTGAACGGTTGGTAAGGTGGATGAGCCTGGCAGCAGTATTCATGATGGACTGGAGGGGGATAGCCTATGTAAAGGTAAGCCAATGAGGAGGGGAGTTGCAGTAGTCGAGAGATTACCAGGGAGTGAATTAGGAGCTTTGTGGTATCATTGGTTAAGAAGGGGCATATTCTGGAGATGTTTCAGAGGTTTAGGTGGCATGATTTGGTCAGGGATTGGATGTGGGCCTGAAAGGATAGTTCAGAATCCAGGGTTACACTTAGCACCTTGGCATGCAGGGATAGGTTGATAGTGGTGCTATTGATCCTGACTGAGAAATCAGGGAAGAGGCGTGTGGGGGAGAAAATATTATGAGCTCAGTTTTGGATAGATTGAGTTTTAGGAAGTGGAGTGACATCCAGTCTGATAGGTCTGTTAGTAAATCGTGATACGAGTGGAAACTGATGGGGTGAGCTGAAGAATAGAGAGATAGATTTGTGTGTCATCAGCATAGAAATGGTATTGGAAACCATGGGACGCTATCAACTGACCCAAGGAAGAAGTGTACATCAAGAATAGGAGATGTCCAAGGACAGAACTTTGGGGGACCCCGACAGTAAAGGAGTAGGAGAGGAGGTAGTAGAGTTGTAAGTGACACTGAAGGTGCGGTGAGATAGGTAAGATTCAAACCAATGGAGAGTATAGTCACGGAGACCAAGTAAATAGAGTTTTTTGAGGAGGAGGGGGTGATCAACTGTACAAGTAGTAGACTAATCTGGTTTCCCACCAGAGGGCTCCTTAACCTATCCGCCCTGGGGGTGCAGGTGTACTCACTCAGATCCTCTCCTGTACCACTGGTGGGCTGGCTGCTGCTACCAGGTTTATCAGCTGGGCTGCTCTTTCCCTGCCACACAGGTGGTCCTCTCTCAGGAGGCCAGTGAGTTCCAAGCTTTCTCCCTTTCCAGCTCCAGGCCTGCAGGTAGGCCCCATCCCATTGGGCCTCCTTACAGCCATTTTCCTCAAAGCCTCACATCTTCCTCTCCTTCTTCCACCCAACTCTCTTGCCACTGAGCGGGCTCCAACACTTTTAAGTGTGCCCCAACCCCTCTCCAACCCTTCTGTTGGGGATTGGCTAAGGTCCCTCAAGTGTGCATCCACCCACTGCCTCTAGAGCCTTCCTCCAAAGCCCTATAGCAGGGGGAAATTCCAGAGGGGCTGATCATGGTTTGACCTTATGATATTTGCACCCAGGCTGCTACTCAGCCTTCCTCACTACCAATTAAACAAAAGCTCCCCCTAGCTAAACTAGGACGGTGCTACATAAAGGTAGACAGAGAGGCTACCAAATGTTTACTTAACGCAGCCCTACCCTCGTGAGAGCCGCTGTGTTGTATTTTTCACACAGACTTGCATTCAAAGACCGTGACCAGTCCATGAACTTGGTTTTGTTGTTTTATCAGGGGAATTCAACTTGGATAGGGAAATAGAGATTATGGGATTCCCAATTTGACTTGAAACGGAAATGGAATGGGACACTTCCCTCCTATGTACAAAGCAGATCCTGGACTGTGCTTTTCCTGACTGTCGTTATGGATCAGTAGCAGCTACCCTTTATGGGTGAGGAACTAGCAGCCTCTCAAAAATCACTTTACATCTCGTAACTACATACAGGGGCATCCTCTTTCCCCCTTACAGAGCTGCTCCCAGCTCCACAGCCTGCAAGCACTACCAGCCCTCCTGGCTTCTCGTAAGATCTCCCAGGACAAGGATAAAGGATTTAGCCCAATGCTTTCCTTAGAAATCTTGCTACGGTTGCCCCCCCCGCAGATCTAGGGGGCCCCTCCTAGACACAGACAGTCTCCTCAGCACTCCATCTTCTACCCATCTCTGCTCTCACCCTGACTATTCCATATTTATTGGCCAGTCCACCACTCTACCAGGGCCTCCAAACCTGGGATTGGCTGGACCCCCATGAATATGCAGATTGGGCCTCCACCCCTTCCTTCTTACCATCTTCCGGAAGGCTCTATGGTCACCCAGAGCCAGGAGGAGGCGATACACAACCTGTTGAGTCATCCAGCTGATCTGCGATAACCCGGCCCCAATCACATGACTCACACAACTACCATGAGGAGTCCACAATGATTTTGCCTATAAACACTCTACACCATTAGTGTAGCACCCTCTAGTGTGCTACTAGAATACTGTCCTTTACATGGAAAAATATAAAGTGCCTTCTCTGCTCCTTGCT